GTCACTGAAGTCTCTGTTTGGTGGTCAGCTAACGGTTGGACAGAGATTTCCTAAAAATGCCTGAAACCAGTAAGTTTCCCAGGCATTGCCAAGGGGCTCTATGTGTGTGTTGGGGCATGCCTTCGTTACTCAACCAGCCTGTTGATAACTGTGTCTTACCATCACTTCCTGTTTGTGTAGAGCCTCAAGGTCAGCCAGAGTAAGAGCTTAGAGCCTTCGCAGGCCTTTCCTGAGCCTCCGCAAAGCATTGGGTCTGTACAGCTCCGTACAAGGCATGCCTCCCTAGATGCTAAGAAATGTGTCTGAGTCTTTCAAAGCCCTTTTGGACATCTCAGTCCCCAACTTTTTTTTAAGCCTTTTGGTTAGTCTCTTGTTGCTTCAACTCTTATCCACCACCGCAGGCAGTCACAAAATTAAGCAATTGCCTGTAATTGATTTTGACAGATGCCCCCAGGAAAAGACTTTCCACACTGATTGAGCCTTACAGGTGGAGTTCCCTCTTATCTTCTCAATTAATCCTAGACCCTTCCCCCAGAATCAATCTTTGTTTTTATTTTTTAACCCTATATTACTTTGACTCGTTATAGAACTTTATGTAAATGGAACTCTAGAGTAGAATCAATTTTGTGTAGTTTACACAGCATAATAGTGCTAATATTCTTCTGTGCTATGAGTATAATGATTCATTATTTTTTGTTGCTTTGATAACCCAATCTGTTCTCTGGTTCTTTAAGCCAGTAAGACTACAGTTTCTATCCAAGCTTTAGCCGTCCAGTGTGGTACCGCTGGTGCCTGACCTCCGGAAAACCAATAAACAATGAAAATTTTACCCAGCCTTATTCCTTTCTTTCAAGTTTATTCTCTCTTCCAGTTCCTGCCTGCTTTTATTTAGCTCTTCGGTGCTTTCAGTTATTTGTTTTACTTATTTGCCCAGATATAGTTTCAATTTGTTACCAGAGGGAAGTTTGGTCCAATAGGAACTACTACTCCATTACTGAAGTGGTACCCAGATGGTTTTTAAAAGTCAGACTGAGCATGCATCTGGCCAGAAAAGTCAGGAGTGAGGAGAAGAACGGTGCAAAGAGAGGCAAGTTTTGTGGAGAGGGAAGGAATTCGGTTCAGTTCAGTTAGAGAAGGCTTAGACTAAAGCCAAACAATGCTTGGAAAAACTCCAAGGGAAAGAACTTGCTAGAACACTGTGTTTTTCAAACTGCGAATCATAAAATGAATTTGGTAAGGGGCCTCTGGAAAAGTCATTTTTTGCTACTAACCTAACTCAAAACCATGAAACAAATAGAAACTAAGACTAATGCATTACTGATTTGCACTTTTATCCTCAGCACTCCAGTTAGAGCACAGTCTGTGGAGTCAATGAATTCATATCTTCTCTGTCTGATGTATTGCGGACCTTGATTTTCTATTGGAATTCTCTTGTAACACAAACAAGCATATATGTCACACGCTTAATAAATGTTAAATATATATATATATAAAAATATATATATATATATAAAGATGTATCAAACATTTGTCAGAGTGGTGACAGGGTTGATGAAGAATGATTGACTTTTGGAGATCCAGTTTTAAGGACTCCTCAACTTAGACATTGTTCATGGGGAAGGGGAAGCCTTGAGAATCTATTGATCACTCATGTGACATGCTCTGTCATCAGCAAATCCCAGAGTTCCTTGCTTACGAAAAGGACGTGCCAGAGCACCTCGGGAATGTTCCACGTAGGGAGAGTATTAGAACCTTCCCCTCTTTCTTCTCTTTGCGCTCCTTCTCTGTTCTCTCTGTCTATAATCCTTCTTCCAGCCCCTAACACAGACATACACCCATGAACTCTGGGTAAAAGTACAGATTAAGCAATCAAATATAACTGTATAAATAAAAAAAATTAAATACTTAAAAGAATGCTAATCCATCTTTCCAATTTTAAAATTTTAAAATTTCCAGATCTCTGGAAATTGGTGATAATGAAGAAAAACTCCTTTCAGATTCATTAGGTAGTGATTCCATGATCTAATTTTTCATTCTTTAGAAGAGAGTGTGATAATATTATTAGCAGAAGAAGGTTAAAAGAGAACAATAGTGGGGCCGGCCGAGTGGTGCGATGGTTAAGAACTCGCTTGGGATGCCAGAGGGCCCCGGTTCAGATCCCACATATGAGGGCCAGTGACACTGCCCTCTACAGCTAAGATGCTGAACAACAGTTCAACCTGGAGCTGGGCTGCTGTGAGTCACCGGCGACAGCGTAGGCTGCAGTCCCTGTGGCAGTGGGTTGCCATGGGTACCGTATGTAGCCAGCAGCCAGCGTGAGCGGCCAGCAGCCGCAGTGAGCGGCCGTCCAGAAGCCGGCGACTGATCTGCCTCGCCCGGGAAGAGCGCAATGATGGTGCCAACTTGGGCCAGTGAAGCAACATCCTCCACAACTAGACTGAAGAACAAAAAACGACAGCAACTTGTCTGTTGCCCTTCCCCCAATTCCCAGCACTTTCCCATCCCCCCAATTCCCCAATAAAAATCTTTAAAAAAAAAAAAGAGAGAACAATAGTACTCCAAAAGACACCATTAAGAAAAAGTCGGCCACAGATTGGGAGAAAATCCTGGCAATACATATGTCTGACAGTGGAATTGTAAACAGAATGTATAAAGAACTCCTATGAATCAACAATATAAGATAAACAACCTAATTAAACAAAAGGGTGAGAACATGAAGAGACAATCACAAAATAATATATATCAACTGCCTAAAAGCACATGATAATATGGTCTATATCATTAGCCATCAGGAAGATGCAAGTCAAAACCACAGGATTTAATAAAATGAAGGAGACCAGCAATATCAAGTACTGACAAGGATGCAAGGCAATGAGTACTCAAACTTTGCTGGTGTGGGTGTAATAATTGTACAGTCACTCTGGAAAACAGTTTGGCATTTTGTACAAAGTTAAACATACACTTATCATTTGAACCTTGAACGTCCATTTCTAGGTCTTTACTCAAAAATACATCCACAAACAGCTTTGTGTATACATAGCGGCTTTATTCATACTAGCCAAAAACTGGGGAAAAAAACAAGTGTGCACCAATGAGAGAACGGCTAAGCAAATTGTGGTATGTGCACGCAGTGGAATAGCACTCAGCCACGAAAAGGAAATGGATGCTGATGCCTGCAACGGCATGGAAGAATGTCAGGAACATGGTGCTGAGTAAAAGAAGGCACAAACGACTACTTATTATATGATCCCATTTATATAAAATTCTTGAAAAATGCAAAGCTAATGATATTTTGTGATAAAAATCAGATCAGTGGTTGCCTGGGGTTTGACTGCAAAGAAACATGAGGGATGTTCTGGAATGACGGAAATATTCTATAATGATAGGATGACCCAACTCAAGGAATTGTGCAGTTACAATGTATGCATTTCATTGAACACCAGCTATATTTCAGTAAAGTTGTGTGGGTTTTTTTTGTTTGTTTTGTTTTGTTTTGTTTTGTTTTCTAAAGTGCAAAAAGAATTCTAGACCCTGTGCTCTGACTACCTGGCATATGGGAGATACCAAACTGCCCCTCCGTATGGTAACCCTGCCTGATTATCTTCCATAACCATGGCCCTGACAGAGGTCATCTTTATCCTCACACAGTTATAATGCATCGTAGTAAGCACATTAAATGGAAATCCCCTCCCTAAAATGAGGAACAGCATCTGGATGGGATACACATCCAGGACAGGACCCAAACAGCCCAGTTGGGGTATTTGTCTTTTAAAAACAAGTGTGTGGGCACCTGAATGATTCTTTGTTCTAAATCAGAGGTCAGTAAAATATAGCGCATGCTGCCTGCTTTTGTGCAGCCCTTGAGCTAGGAATGCTTTTTATATTTTAAGGGGTTGTTTCAAAAAATGAAAACAATATGCAACAGTTATGTAAGTGTCCCTCAAAGCCAAAAATATTTACTATTTTGACTTTTACAGGAAAATCTTACTAACTCCTATTCTTTTCTCTTTGATCAGTACACCATGTTTACTGTAACCGATTCAACCTCTTAAAAAACTTGTACAGTGTATCTTTTTATTATTATTATTATAATCTCAGCAGTTTGAAGTATGATTGTGTTGTTGGAAAAGTCATGACGCATTTTTGCAATGAAAAACAGAGAAAAAACATGTCATGACTTTTCCGACAACCCAATAGCTAGTGTATATTAAGCGTATAACCTCATTTTCTTTCCTCTGAATACTAAGAAGAATACTAAGTTGAATGGTATGATAGCTGTTCCCCATGGAATGCTGTGTTTCCTCTGAATGGGCTTCTTTGGCTCTATACCAGCAGCCAGGTTAGAACGCCGTTCAAGACAGTGAATAGCAGAGTGCCTGATAGCAGATGCACATGTGGCATGGGGCTCTCTCTTCGTCGTTCTGCAAAATGGGCAGGCAATGCTAAGTGTTCCTTGTTCGCCCCAGTGGAATAGATGGGAAGAGTCGTTTTTTACCCTTCAGATTTCTAGAAAGTGGGCGAGTACTTTAGAAGGTGTTTGAGAACTTCTAGAGGTGGAAGAGGGTGATTATTTTGTCTGTTAGGTTAGGGGGTCTTAACTACATATTCAGGAGTGTTGAGATTTCCCCCATAGAGTTCAGCAGAACTCCCAGGTCAACTGGAGGACCGTCCCACCGTCGCCCTTCCTTCACACCTGCCTTCCATGAGCTCATTTGCCCCATAACAGATCATAACAGATCTTTTAAAATTAATTTAGGTGCTCTGAACATCTCTTCACTCCAAATTCTAAAGACGAACCTGGGGATAATGGGACCTCTAGAATTGCTTTAGGAAGTCACCACTTCTTTGGGGGGATCCACACATTCAAGTGGAAGGATCAGTGAAGTTGCTGGTGGTCGAGAGCCCAGGGACAGGAAGAAGCAGCACCCTGATGTGAGCTAATACTTATGTGAAAATCTGCAAATGTTGATGAGCTTTCTTCCTCTCCATCTTTTCTCCAGGCCTACTCTGTCTACGATGAAGACATCGGGTACTGTCAAGGGCAGTCTTTTCTTGCTGCTGTATTGCTCCTGCATGTAAGTAATTTTCCATGTAATAAAAATAAACTTGCTGCCAAGTTTATTTTATTTTCTGCTTGGTTTTGTTTTCCCTTCTTATTTTTCATGTACCTGATGGAGATTACACATGGCATGTCTTTTTAAAAATGTACCTTTGGTGATAAAATTAGTGACCTGATGTCAAGAACAGAACAGTTTCTCAATAGAATTAATTTTATTGGCTAGAAGGGAATAAATTGCTTATTTGGAGTTACTTTTATCTAGAACCCTCCAGAATTAAAGAGGTCAATGTAACTGCCCGAATATGAGCAGGACGAGGACCATTATGAAGGAATGTGACAAGGAAGCCTTTTATCTTTTCTGTGATTTATTTTTGTATATTCCCTTTTTTCTCAGCCACCTTTATTTAACAGAACATTTCTTGAGCATCAGTTGTCAGTACTGGGTTAGGAAGTGGCATTACAAATATGAATAATTTATGGTTTATGTTCTCAGAGGCCTCATGGTCCAGGGTGGGCGCAGATAATGTAGGCACACGATTATTATTTTTGCTCTTTGTATGTATCTATATTGATTTTTCTTTATTTTATTTTATTTTTATTTATGTATTTTTCATTAGTTTCAGGTGTACAAAACAATGTAATAGTTAGACACTTACACTCCTCACAAAGTGAGAACCCCCCTCCCCCAACCTATTACCCCTCTGACATCATATACAGCTGTTACTCCACACCCTGTGACTATATAAACATATTAAATTATAGTTGACATTCAGTATTATTCAGATTCAGCTTCAGGTGTACAGCGCAGTGGTCAGGCCTCTACACCATCCATGAAGCAGTCTCCCTAATAAGACAAGTGCCCATCTGACACCCTACAAAATCTTTACAACATTATTGATTATATTCCCCAAACTGTTTTTCCTATCCCCATGGCAATATTTTGAATACAGTTTATGCTGTCTAATTCCCTCCCCTTCTCCCTCATCGCCATCCCCCTGTACTGATTTTTCTGATGTTCACTAAATAGCTTACAGTGTGCTTAGTGAGAGTGACACAGAGAATAGGAGAATAGAGGGAAGGACCCGATCCAGCTCTGCTGGAACTTTCAGGAAAGACTTTTTAGAGGAGATAGTAAGTAGCTTTGCCAATATAGAAATAATTGAGGTTGGGAGAGGCCAGATGGGAAAGGGAGGGAATAGAGATTGCCAAACCAAAGCAACAATATGAACAAATGTATGGAAACACAATAGGGCACAGCATATAAAGGGAACAATATGAAATTGCAATTTTCATACAGTTACTATAGGAATTGTATGCAGGGAGAGGTCAGATGGGCAGGGAGCATTCTGAAGACTTTATAATAATGTCAAGAAATGTGGACTTTATTGCAAAGCTAATGAGGAGCCCTTGATCAGTTTGAAGCAAGGGAATGGCAGCAGAGGTTCATTTCCTATAAATTCTTATTATGCAGAGGGTGGAACTGAAGAGAATAAGCAGCCATTTAGGAAATGTCAATCAAATGAGAGACGTTGAAATTCAGAGAAAGAGAAACAGAATTAAGAAACATGCAGGAGGCAAAATGGTAGGTTTTGTAGGTGGATGGACAAAAGAAGGCTCAAAGGTAACATGCCCACTTTGCTAGCTTTGGTGACTGGATGAATTGTGGTGTTTTGAGCTGAGATAGAAAAAACACATCCGTGGAGACTGAATGGAGAAAAATGGTTAGGAACTGATAATGAATTTTGTTCTGAATTCTTCGAGTCTGGGATATTTGGGGGATATCTGCGTGAAGCTGTCCAGCAACCAGTTGGATACTGGTGACTGAAGCTGGGGGAAATCAAAGCGGAAATTCCAAGAGTGGGCCTGATATCTAAGAAAAATAAATAGAGTGAGAAGAACAGCAGAACCCAGGAATGCCAGATATTTAAAGGGCTGATGAAGAAGAGGAATCCTTGAAGAACTTCTGGATTTTTACTAGGGAAGAAGCAATAAACGATTCAAATGCAAGAGAGAGATCCAGCAAGTTTAAAACGAAAGCATTTCTTTTACATTTGCATTCTGGAAATTATAATAGATTCATGGTTCTAGTCCTGATAACTTAATTCTAACAATAATAATGATATGCAGTGGTTCCAGTGGGATTATTCACTTTATTTAACGTTGAGTTTGATTTCTTCCTCTGTTGCCTTGTTGCCTGTTGATGGTCATCTTATTGTCCTTGGCACCCCTCTTTCTTTGATCTCTCCATAGCCCATCTTCTTGGGGTTCCCTAGGATAATCAAGCACTTGATGAGTACAAATTCTCGGAGGCCTTTCTGCTACTAAACCTGTCCAGTATCTGGAGTACTCAGGTCCCTGTCACAGGAGCTGGAGACTAGGCATGGACGTGGGTGCATTCACCAAAGCTCAGAGCCCTTGTTCTTTGGAAAGGAGCCTTTATTGTCACTCAGATGAGAGGCTGATGTTCCCGCCATGGGTGGCGAAGCTTTGCCTTCCACAAAGTACTCTTGGAGTATATCGTGGTTTAGTATTTTAGACCTATAGCCCTGTTAACACATTATAATATGTTGATTAAAATTCAGTGAGCCAGATGGACCCATGTCCTTTTGGAGAGTCCAC